TTAAATTTTATTTTATTAATTTTTCTTTCAAGATTACATTCCATTGCACGGAGGTTTTCATATCTTCACAACATATTTTAGTTAATTTTCTTGATTTTTTCATTAACTGTCTTTGTTGACATATATATGCAAGTTTTTCAAATAAAATTTTTATTCTTGAACCTAAAGTTCTAAGTATTCCAGTATTATTTCTAACATATTTTTCAAATTCTATTTTAAAATATATTTCCAATGAACCTGGTAACTTATTATAGTACATTTCTTGGTATACTTATTGATTTTCATTACTATAGAATTGAACATAATAGTAATTTTTAAATTCACACGCATATTCATTAATTTTACACATATCACATTTTGTTAAATTTATTAATTTTATTCTAGCATTATCTTTTTCTCTTATTGATTCTTTTTCAGCATTTCTTATCCAATTTTCTCCTAAAAATTCATCTGAAATATATTCTACTAATTTTTCTATACCTTGTCTATCCGACTTTATTATTTCTGTTTGTACATTTCTTTTTATTAATATTTTTGTATCATTGCTTATTCATTCCCACCAATTTCTAATATCTCCTTCAAAGGATGCTATTAAGAAATATATTATTCTTTCAGTATTTTTTCATATATCATCTTTATTATATAAAAAGAATAATATTATTGAATTTGCCTAAGTTAATAAGGTTTTTTTAGTATCTATTTTACAATCTAAATCTAGTTTTGTTCCTCCATGATTAATTGGTTTATCATAATTATCATTTAATTCAAACATTTCTTTGTATTTATTTCCTTTAGATAGTTGTCCATCTCTTACTTTATCATAAAATTGTTTATATGATTTATTAAATATAGGTACATAACTTTCATCTGTATCATGTAATTCATATTTAGTGGTTCCTGCTGGATTAGAACCTCTTCAGTATTCATTAAAACTTGACATTGACTTATATCAGTTAAATTTAATTGATCAAAATTTTCTATTAGTAAATCTAATTATTCATTCATTTTTATCTTCTTTTTCTTCTACTTTTGATTTTTCTTTAGATTTTTCTTCCTCTTCTAATATTTTTGGTAATATACTCCTTCTAAATTCATCATTCATATTTTCTGTTTCTATAACTATATTCTCTTTTTCTATATGTTTCTGAGTCATTTCTTTTTCTATAAATTTTTTTATCTATTTTCTTATATTTATTTTTATTATTTTCTTTTAATTCTCTAATTTCACTTTTTAATATATTTATATCGTTTCTTTTTTCTTTTACTTCATTTCTTAAGTCTTGTATATCATTTATTAATATTTTTATTAATGATTTTAATTCTTTCATATATTTACTTATTGACATTTTAATTTTTTTTATTTTTAACTCATAGGTTAATTTGCATATTTTATCTTCTTTTTTTATCTATTATTTTTCTAAATATTCTCTCAGCTGTATCTGGATCTACTAATTCTTCTTTTACTATAGCAAAATATCTACTCTTAAGTCTTAATCTTTCACATTTGAATTTTATTAATTGTCTATTATTTGATATTCTCATTCCTTCTGATATTAACATTATATTCCGTATTTCCTCTTGTATTTTTTCCATTTTTATAAGTAGATTATTTAATTTTAAATGTGTATTATTACTTGCATTCATACTTTTCTTTGTAATATAAATTATTTTCTTCATCTTCATATATATTAATAATTTTTTCATATGTATATATATCTTTTATTTTTTCTATTATTAATTTTTCTATTATTTGTTCCTTTATTTCTTTAGGCAACTTTTTAATTGTTGTTAGTGTCATTATTTTTAATCCATTATGTATAGATTTTAAAAATATATAACTACCTTTCTCTTCTTCTAGACGCCAATAATTATCTATTTTTCTTATTTTAATTTTCATTGTCTCTATGATTTTATCAGGATGTAAATATTCGTGTATTAAATCAATTATTATTTTAAAGACGTATAAATATTTCTTTAATTTTCTAATAGCTAATCTGTTATTTATTAAACTTATAAAAAATCTAAGTGTTAATCTAAATCTAATACTTTAAATAATCTATTTTTTATAGGTTTTCTAATGATCTCTATAGTTCTGATACCAATAAGGGGTTGCTACTTAGAGCGAACAAAAATCAAATAAATCAAGTTAAAAACATTTTAAAAAATTCAAATAAAAACTATCAAATTTCATCCTATATTAATTTTAAGGACTAAAATCGAGGATTTCTATATTATAGTGTCTTATTATGTAATATTCAAATGGAGGGTATTTTTGGTATGTAAATCGATCAAAGGTCATTTTGAAAAAGTGGCACTTTTGTAAAGGTTATTTCCATGTATGTCCCGAATATATGAGCACCATGTTCTATAATTGATTGTGAACACTTTACATAACAATTATATTTAAAAAAAAAAAAAAACTGCTGCAAACACCATATATATAACAACATTGTTAACAACAGTAAATGTTTTATTAATCAAATTAAAATAAGAATGTGCAGTAATTGTGCAATGTTAGTAGTATGTTCATTTGATAAAATGTATTTAACAGCAAATAATTTCTTCACAAGAGTCAGATATCATCATCAAGATATAATGCTACCAAATACGTAATGATTATTGCCAGCATAAAATATAATACTAAATGCCAAAGAAATGCTACATCTGTAGTTTTGGAAGAAAAGTTTTTATTCTTTTTTATTTTATCAAAGGCCACAGCACAATTGGTATTTTCGTTGAATATTTGAAAATTTGGTAAAAATTGAATATACTATATCCATTTCAAAAAAATGATGATGATGAGATAGTCATTGCGTAAAATACATACAATAACGCAATAAAAAAATAGAAGTAGAGGTTATGAAATGAAGAGAGTTATGAAATCGAAAGAGTGATTATTGTAAATTTATACTATTAAAGAGTTGAGAGTGATATATTAGATATATTGTAAAAAATGTTGAAAGATTTCCATAAACTCTGTTTATATTGGAACTTTTTATTAAAAAAATAATTAGAATTTCAGATTTGATGATTTAATGGCACCCTGCATGATGTAGGATGTCATCGACTCTGTATGTCTACAAAAGATTGTCAATTCAGGGGGCGGAGCCAGAAGGAGCAAAGTAAATTATAGTGGCAAGTACATCTAAAGAAAAAATTCATAAAAAAAATTTGTTTTACATACCGTTTTTAAACTTAAAAACCAAATGGGCTTGGAGCAGGCATGAGCTCTAGCTGTCATGCAGATTGCTCACCTAGGCAAGCCTATGAGCTCACGAGGTCGGCTCATGGAACAACTCATGGCTCGTAGTGAAGTCAGCCGAGTCGACGTCTCGACGAGCTACTCATCCCACTTAGCACTCCTAACGATGACATTTATTTTAATACATTAGCTAATTCAATATCTTGTTTCAAAGCTTATGTTCAGGAAATATTATTAATAATGTGTCGAGTAGAAGCTTAATTTAAAACAAATCTCTATGCACTCTATCCGCGTTTGATAGAGTTTCGATGAGCTGAGAAGAAGCTCAGGTTCAAGCAAACAACAATTCCATTTGCGCTCTGTGCGCGGAGTAGCTGCAGATATCCCAGCACAAGTTCCCACCCCATGCTCTAGAAAATACCCTATTCTAGGCTTCCTCCTCATCCTCTGCCGCCACCACCACCAAATAAGGAATATCACACCTATGGATCCCACACAGAAAAAGCCCCCCAAATCTATCTACTTAACAACCACCACCATCATCACCACCATCTCAGCCACCCTCTGCCAGATCCCACCACCACTCCCCCTTTCCTCTATCCAAAGCTTATCCAATCAGTTTTATGAAGGGGTAAAAACAATGTCACCGAATTATGCTATTTATGAGAAATAACCAAGCACCTATGACATGATACATAATTTAATTTGTGTATCAATTAATTTTTAGGATCTACGTGAACTTATTTATCAATTAATTAATCTGTTGTATTACAGGCGCTTAATATAAATTTAGCACTTGTACTAGTAGACCATTTTTGCTGAAACATAAATCTTGATACATCTTTAATGTCAAATTTAACTTCAAAACAACTGAAAACTCAAGACAAATGATAAAAATTAATACAATGTTTAATAATAATATAGATATAGAAGATATAAGGAAGCGTCAAAGTAAAAAACACTTGATTCATGCCTCCCGAGGCATAGCTCAATGTGTAAAGGATAGAAGTGAGGTTATCTCACGTCTTGTTGGCAGGTGCAGTGTGGAGATTCGATTCCTGAGACATAGAATTGGATTCCTTGTAGACGTCTGTTGAGGTATATCCCGCGATTTACCTCCCTCACAAAACTTTAGAAGCGAGACGGTGGAGGCCCTCAAAATTAGGGTTCAACCAAAAAAACACTTGATTCATATATTTAATTTGATTTGATTTGATATGATTTATAAAGAGAAAATGTAGAAAAGGATAAAATCAAGTGTACAGATGATTTCTTGCCTGAATTTTTCCAAATACTGCGTTGGTACTGTAAATATTTTCACAAGTCTATTCCTATCATCATAGGTGCATTTAATTTATGTCACATCCCAAGTCTTGAACCTAACCATTTATATTTCATTTTTCCACCTAATGATGTTTTTATTTGAATTTACGGTCCATCGATTGAAAAAGTGATCAGTTACCTTAAACGGGTCAAGAGTCTAGAGTTATACACGTAATCATTTATAGTTCAATTTTCTACGGATAATTAATTTTGAATTAGGCTCTTTGTACAGATAAAATGTTCAAAAAGCATTACAGATGATGAGGTGACAATGTTTAATTGGTTGGTTTAAATTTATTTTTTATCCAACATCCAATAAAATTGTGCCAGATGGCAATGTGTCAAATTGTGAAGCAAAAGTCCCTGCACATGATAAATATTTATTTGAATTTATGGTCCAAAAATAACCCATCGATATAATAAGTGATCTGGTACATTATTCGGCTCAAGAGTCGAGCCTTGCACACTATCCACAAAGATTAAGAAGATAGATGTAAAACGAAATAGAATAATGTCACTTGTACACAACCAAGTATATATCTGAACACAACTACACGCTACAGATTTGTTATCAAACAAAAACATTAATATGACAAATTTCAATACAGAAGTTCATTTTTCTCCACAAAATACAGTCCCAGATTCCTCCTTGCCACTTCCAGTCAAAGGTAACTCAAAACTTACAACTCTAAGAACGCAACATAAATTTGAACTGCCAAGCTTACCTCTATCGTTCTCCCATATGGTGTGATATGTGGCCAAACGACGGATTATTGGGAAAAACCTTGAAAACTTTTAGGTATTATCAGCTAATTAGAAATGCTTAATAGATCATAAAGCTGCCTACAGGCTGAGAGACGGAAGACGTTGAGATGCCATCCTCTTTTTCCTTAATCTCTCAGCAATGATGAAGGCGAGTTCAAGAGACTGAGAAGCGTTTAGTCTTGGATCACAATGTGTGTGATAGCGAGAACTCAAATCATCGTAAGTCACGTTTCTTGATCCTCCAATACATTCTGTCACATTCTGCCCAGTCATTTCCAAATGAATTCCACCGGGGTAGCTGCCTTCCTGCTCATGCACATCGAAGAAAGCTCTCACCTCGGCCTACAAAATAAAAACAGAATACGTTATTACAACCGTCATAACAGTGCATGTGCCCCAACACATTAAAAACATACTTCTTGTCCATCCATGTGCTATGTATCCCATTAATCAGGAATTCGGGATTAAATAATTAACCTGTACTTTAAAAACATACTTTTGTCCATCCATGTGCTATGTATCCCATTAATCAGGAATTCGGGATTAAATAATTAACCTGTAGTTTGATACTTCTTTTGCTTACCTATCATCAACTTGGGATACTGAAAAGATACTCAGACAACTAAAGACATTCAATAATTTAAGACTTGTTCACCTACCATCAACAATTTCCAGCAAGATGCAATAGTTTCAAGTTTCGGATCCTTGAAAATACTCGGATCTTCCAGTATTTGCAAGGTCAAAATATTATAAGACCAGAACTTCACAGTTTTTGTAACTAGCATGGCTGATTTAGCTTAAAGGTAAAGACATCGCTAGACACCAAAAGATTTAGGGTGTTTGATTTCTATTCTTTTGCGTTTTCTGAAGTGGTTTGGTGCGACTATATTTACAATTTAGTAAGATTCTAATAACGTTTTCATAAAAACATGACACATTATGTCCAGAGAGTGCAAGCAAATCAAATTCCAAATCAGGATTAGCAGTCAAGATGGAATCCAAACAGTTGCAAGAAATCAAGAAAAGAGATTATACCAAGATCGAATCAAAAGCACGTGTTTTGAGCCCACAAGGTGCCTTGATAGTGTTCCCGTGCATTGGGTCACACACCCAAGTCACAATTTGTCCTGCTCTGCGAACGGCCCTGATCAAGTGAGGAAGCTTGACTCTCATGTTCTCAGCACCCATTCTGACTATGACTGTTATTCTTCCAGGCTTGTTAATGGGATTCAGGATCTCTACCAGATTAACAAGTTCATTTGGATCCATCTTTTGGCTAACCTGCAAAAGAAATTCCATCTTAGCCAACTGATTACGACTGCGAAATATGAAATATCATGTCCACCATTCTTCAAAGCTACCAAGAGAAGACCACACGTGCCAGTTGATCATAATTATCAAAAGCCGAAAAGAAATAAAGCTATCATAATTGAATATATCACCTAATGCCATAAAGGTGACCCCAAGATCATTAGACAACAATCTCATGAACATATTGCTTATATTTTGAAATTTTCGGCCTGAGGCAAATCTAGCTTGTATAATTCATAATCAATGAATTTTTCCTCCTAAAACTAGTTTTCAGTCACAAGCAGAGTAGGACCCATTGAAGTCCGAGGTAGATTCCGCCAATCGGAAATTTACAAATGTCAATGGACTATTCTGTTCATTTACTTAAGGTATCACATAATTCCAACACATATAATAACAAGGTAATACTGAGATTTCTTAAAATGATTGAGCCCCTTTCTTTTATAAGAAAGATATATACCTTTATACCGAGTGGATTAGCGACTCCTCTCAAAAATTCAACATGCCCACCATCTAGTTGCCTGGTGCGTTCGCCAACCCAAAGCATGTGAGCCGAGCAACCATAATGGAGACCAGAGGTCGAATCCTTCCTAGCGAGTGATTGCTCGTAAGGTAACAGCAGGCACTCATGGGAAGTCCAGAATTCAGTTGTTGACATAACAGGGTGGTCAATGGTAAGTCCAGCAGCCTCCATGAAACCCAAGGCTTCATCAACTCTATGAGCCAGTTCTTGATACCTGATGAAAATTCCAATAACAAAAATATTAAATGGTATGAATTGCCATAGTTGAATCCCTGAGATCCTAATAAACCACATATAGGTTTCTTATTTAATGAAACCCACCTGTCTCCCTGCTCACTGTGCTCAACAAAATCAAGATTCCATTGAGTCACTCTCTGCATAGCAGCATAACCTCCAGTAGCAAAGGCTCGGAGAAGGTTAAGGGTCGATGCAGCCTGGGAATAGGCTCTTATCATCCTATGAGGATCTGGAATTCTCGATTTCTCATCAAAGGTATCACCATTTATGTTGTCTCCCTTGTAACTAGGCAGCTTTATTCCATCCTTCTCCTCAAATGGATCTGATCTTGGCTTGGCAAATTGACCAGCCATTCTTCCCACCTAAAATAAATAATCCAACAAGTTAACATCACAAAAACCGATTCCAATAAATTTAACAAAATAGGACAGGCCAGGACTACACAGTGGACAAGATTCAACTTCTAAAGAGCCAACACAATTAGCCAAAGAAGCCTAACTCAAGTGGCAAGAACTATGGCAAGATTCCACTTTGGATGGGTATGTTTATTCCGCGATTCTGTGTTTTAATCTTGTTGCTTCACTTAAAAGTAGGACCCAAGTAAATTTGAAATCTTTAATTATTTAGTTAAAATATATAACCAAAAAGGGCAGTAAAACTTTGAAGTATCTCCAATAGATCTGAAAGTGTTCCCCTAAAATAATAATGACTTAAAATCTGAAAAGTAATCTATAAATCAATAATTACCTTAACTACTGGCATTTGGCCACCGAAAGTGAGGACTACGCTCATCTGAAGAAGAATTCTGAAAGTGTCACGAATATAATTAGCACTGAACTCCTTGAAGCTCTCAGCACAATCCCCACCTTGTAAAAGGAAGGCTTTCCCCAATGCCGCCTCCCCCAGGCGCTCCTCCAGGCTCCTGACCTCTCCGGCAAACACCAAAGGAGGGTAGGCCTCGAGAGTCTTGAGCACAGACTCCAACTCAGCTGCATCAGGGTACTCGGGAAGCTGCAAAACCTTCTTGGTCTTCCAGCTCTCCGGAGCCCATTTAGCGGCGGAAGACGGAGCTGATGCAGTTTGCTTCTTGTTGCTGATGATGGGGGTTTTGGCAGGCTCAGCCGCATGCACAGCGGAGATGGGGTGGCGAATGGAATTAGTGGGATTAACCGACAATGTAGAGTGGTTCTGGGATAGAGAGGCGGGGAAGAGAGATTTAGATTGAAGGATTGATTTGGAGGATAAAGCAGCAGTATTTGACAGAGCCATTGTTGTCAATTTCTTGATTTAATTGCTTCTAGTGCTGATTTTTTTGCTCTCTCTCACACCTAACTCCCTGTTATTCGAGAAATTTAAAGAGAGAGAAATACGGAAGATTTTCTGGCTGCAGAAATGAATGAATTACATAATGGTTTATATAGAAGAGAAAGAAGTGTTGAGGTTGGTGGCGTCTCTCTGAGGGTCAAAGAAGCATTACGAAGGTTAGGTAAATATGGTGGCGCGTTGGTGGTTGTTAGTAGGTCTCCTCTTTATTTTTCTTCTTACCAATTCCTAGTCCTATCCACTTGTTCTATTCTATTCATATAATACTCATTCACTTGCTTACGATCCGTTGCATAATTACGCTGTATCGAACAAGAAAATTACAATGTATCTTGAACTAACACCCATTTATTCTCTTTCTACAATGACACACCCATTGGACGTTCGTCAAAGGAAAATATTAGATCAAACTATGATCGAGATGAAAATTGTCCAGTATATAAATTTGCTCTGCTCGTCCTACAAATAGCAAGTGCGTCAAAATTGAGGTACAACTAGCGCTGGGCAAAATATTCGAACCAAATCGAAACTGAACTGAACCGCATGATTTTTTTTTAAGTTAAATATCTGAACGGGTATCTAAATTGAGAATCGACGGGTTCGGTTCGATTCTCGATTCTAAACCAAGAACCGAAAAATCCAATCTCTTTAAATTTTTTAATTTTTTTACATTGAATAAATCAAATTATTTTAATTTTTTTCTAAATAAATTAGCAAATTAAGTAATTAATGTTCTAATTTTTAGTTTATTTATGTTTGTTAATTGTATTTTTTTCAAAATTTTGTTGTTGAGTTTCTTAGTAGTGAGTATTGTAAATCAAGCAATTGATAGTTAATTCAAATGTTTAAAATATCTTATCACTATAACTTTTAATTTATATTTCGTTTTTCACGTAGACTTAAATGTTTGAAGCAAATGAACCATTGAATGGATCATTGAAGTTTAGTATTTATTAATATCTACTTTTTGGTATTTGTATACATTGGTAAATTAATTTTGTTGGACAACTGATTATTTATTTGTTATTAAATTAAACTACGTTAGTTTGAAAAACTACGATTGAATGTGCCATTGATTGAATTTATATAGTATTGTTATAAATGTTAAAAATTTTAATTATAGTACGGCACCAAACGAAATTGAACCGGACCGAATCGAACCGAACGGTTCCATAATTATTTTTGGACCCGACGATTTCGTTTACTAAATACCCGAAAGTTTTTGGTTCGGTTCGGTTCGGTTCTCTTTAAAACCGAACCGAACCGAACATCGCCCAGGCCTAGGTACAACATTTGATTTTTTATTCCACGCCTTATATTGTTTGACCTAAAATAGATAGTGAATTTATTAGTCTTGTTTAAAAGTCTTAAAATAAAGTACTCACACGTATTTTTCATTCTGAATTTAAGTAAGTATTTAAACGAGACGATTAAAAAATGTTCGTATATGATAGTTGACCATCAATAAAAATATAGGGTATTGCAATATCTAATTCGATTATTCAAGTTGCATTTTAGATATTCATCTTAAGAACTATTTATTTTGTCACTAAAATTATTTGTTCATAAATTTATTTTATAGAAGCCTTTGCATATGTAAGGGCAATATTGGTATTTCATTCGAAACCATGTTCACATTTCATGCACTTTTGCAACAGAGAGTCGGCCAAATGGTCCCAAAGTATATTTTATACACAACCAACCGACCCAAAAAAAAGGAAACGTGAATTAAAACATAATTTATGATGGACTTGGGATTGGGGTAGGTTTGATTTAGATTTTTCAGAAGTGATTTTTGGAAAAATATGTCAAGATAGAGAAAAAGTTGTGGATGCACATTTTAGAATTGTATTATTGAAAGAATGTATGGTTAGAAATGAATTTTAAAAAATCTATGCCAAATAGTAACTTTTTATATATGTGAATGTAATTAAATGGATCGAATTAAACTGCTCAATTCATTCATTGTCGGCTCGACCGTCCACGCGATCCAACTTGCACTTCCACGTGAAATGGGCTGAGAGCGAGTTGGCTCATTTTTAAAAATTTCCATTCAGCTCGTCCAACCAACTTGCTCGTTGGTGGAAAATCAAGCAAGCTCGCAAGTCAACTCTTACAAGGTTTTCTCTATTTGGTTTGTGCCTGCAGCTCGTCCCACTTAATGCTCCTAACATTATACGACATTTTTATGTTTATTTGTGGGTATTTTTTTATGTTGCTTTGTTTTGTTTTCATTAAAAACAAAAGGGTATTTGGAATTTATTTATTTATTTATTTATTTATTTATTTATTTTTTACTCTAGGATAATCAAAGATTGATTAGCAATTCTTTAAATTTCGAGAATAAGAGTTAAATCAATCTTTAGATTGAAGTTTTTAAAATTTCTTGTTAGGGAAAAATTACGGCAACCATCTTCTACTTTTTTTTTTTTTTTTTTTTTTTTTAAACCACCTGTTTGAACTCAAATGGACTTATTATTTTTTTTTTTCTCTTAATCTAAAGCTAAATCATTCAAAATAATTTTCTAGTATTTAAATTGAAGGTAGCCCCTAGGGCACATCTCCAAGTGATAAAAGGGGAGGGTGAAGAAATTCAGCTTTGCTTGGGGTTGCTGCGTCAAGGGTTCGAATCCTGAAATATGGATTTGGCTCTTGGGTAAGTGTAAGTGTACAAGCAGCCTTCCACTCTATACCCTTGGAGGCATAACCTGCAATTTATATCCCTCACGATACTCCAGGGTAGGGGTGGTGGGGACCCTTAAGGTTAGGGTTTAACCTTTAGTATTTAAATTGAAGGTTAGAAATTAAAATACCATAACAAAATTGTAAATTCAAGTGCATTGAACTTTAAAAAACAAGACAACGGTATTTATTTCTCCATCTACAATAAAGAGTGTAGCACGGAAACACGTAACTAAGTTTCATTCAGTCGAGTTTAATTGATAATGATAGAGGCTTGTCGTTATGAGATTTTATTCACGTTTTATTAAAATGTAAATTATTTACAATTCGTTATTATTTAATTATTTATAAATTTGGACCAAATAAATTCAATAAAATCTTGAAGAATAATAGGGAAGGCAACGACGTGGGTTCGGTTCGTGGCGTGGCGAGCAGGACGGGACAATTTCCCATCCCGTACTCGCCCCGTTATCCATTTAAATCGAACAGGGCTCTTGTCCTGTTTACGTGCCCGTTTAATTTTTTTATAATTCATTTATTGCCATCTTTCATTAAAAGTGAAACAATAATATAGTTATTAAATTTTTTAATTAAATTAAATTATTTATTTTTAAAAGTTAAATTTATTCGAATATATTTGGTAAACTAAGATTTTTATTGTTTATCATATTTTTTAGATAATTTTAGTAGTCATCTTCTATTAGAATTGATGAAATTTCATAAAAATAGTTTATTTAAAGTATTGAATTCTTAAAAAATATATATACATAGCGGGGCGAGCAGTCTGGATGGGTCCTCTATTACCCGTACCCGTCTCGAGGCGAAATTCCTCACCCCGTACCCGAAATCCAATTAAGTGGATAATTTCCAACTTGTTCGGGATGAAGCTATGCGGGTATTGAATTTGACGGATTTAAAATATGTTGGAATCTGTCACGATGGGCAAAGACTTGTCTATTGTACTTTTAAATATTTATTATTACCAATGGACAACACTTAATTAATTTATGAGTTTAATTATTTTTTTCCTTTACTTTTAAGCACTTCAATCAAGATTATTGTATTTTTTGCAGGAATAATTGCAGTAATGATCCTCAACCTTTGAATTTTTAGCGGACTTTAAATTAACTTTGAGTTTGTACTAGCGAAGGTCCTAACCTTTGAAAAATTAGCATCTGGAGTTTAAATGGATCAATTTGACACTTAGTTAACCAAGAAAATTGGATTTTGACCAAATTGAAGGGGTAAAATGGTAACTTTAGAATTAACATTTTTTTTCGAATATTATTAACAATAAAAAAAATCAAAAATCTGCCCCACCCCCAACCCCATCTTCATATTCTTCCCCAACCCAACATCCACGCCTACACCCACCCAACATCCAACCAAACACAATTCAAAGCCATCGACTGCCACAACCAAACCCACAGTTAACTCAGTGAACAGTCACCCGTCTATCTCAAATTAACCAATTCAATTCTAAAAGAAATTACTGATGGAGAATCCCACCACCACCACATCTACTGCAACAGCAACATAGAACATCAGATCAAGTACTGACCAATGTGATGCACTTTCCTTAAGCAAATCAAGCTAGTGCTATAATTGAGATGCACTTTTCCCTCCTTGAAATCAAATGGCACGGTCCCTATGTATGGTGCAGAGATTGTGAATCCATGGCTTATGGCTTGGATCTTACTAAGAGATCACAAAATTGGTCAAAAATGGATTTTATGGACAAGAAAACGGAAACCATGTACACTATGGGAGAAGAGAAATTGGTAAGGATCACTCAAATAGATCTTCTGGAACTCCTGTAACTTTTGGGTTTAATTTAGTGGAGGTGATTATTGAGTTCAAAAGGAATGGAAGTGGAAGGTTATAGTTCAATTTAGTGAAGGTGGTTTCCGTTTTTGAGTGGTGGTGGGTTTGGTGAGGCGGTCAATGGCTTTGGATTATGGTTTGGTTGGATGTTGGGATTGGGGGTGCGTGGGGAAGAAGATGAAAATGGGGGTGGGGTAAAAAAAAAAAAAATTTAGTTGTTAATAATATTTGAAAAAAAAAATTGTTATTTCTAAAGTTACCATTTTGCCACTTTCGATTTGGTAAAAAATGGTCAAAGTCTAATTTTCTTGGTCAAGTAATGGTCAAATTGACACTTTTCATCCATTTGAACTTCAGATGCTAATTTTTTTAAAGGTTTGGGACCGTCACAGGTACAAACTAAAGGTTATGGTAAAGTTCACTGAAAATCCAAACGTTTGGGACCGCTGTTGCAATTATCCCCTTTTCAAATGACAAATTAAAAAAATAAAAAAAACTGAGGAATTTCTGATGCAACATCTTCCTTGAAATTTGTACAAAATAATTAAATCTTTGGTCGCACTTCGATTTTATTTCGATATTTTAATATTAACTTGTAATTATTGAACACTTAATTATGCATTACACCGATTAGCACAATGGAGATAACCGATTAAGCTACAAACACGTGTCCTCTTTTATTGGAATTATGTATAACTCCG